ACCTGCTGTCATCAATGATCACAGAATAGAGTTGTATGCAGGTTCACTGTTTAACAGGCTATTAACCTGCTGTCATCAATGATCACAGAATAGAGTTGTATGCAGGTTCACTGTTTAACAGGCTATTAACCTGCTGTCATCAATGATCACAGAATAGAGTTGTATGCAGGTTCACTGTTTAACAGGCTATTAACCTGCTGTCATCAATGATCACAGAATAGAGTTGTATGCAGGTTCACTGTTTAACAGGCTATTAACCTGCTGTCATCAATGATCACAGAACAGAGTTGTATGCAGGTTCACTGTTTAACAAGCTATTAACCTGCTGTCATCAATGATCACAGAATACAGTTGTATGCAGGTTCACTGTTTAACAGGCTATTAACCTGCTGTCATCAATGATCACAGAACAGAGTTGTATGCAGGTTCACTGTTTAACAGGCTATTAACCTGCTGTCATCAATGATCACAGAACAGAGTTGTATGCAGGTTCACTGTTTAACAAGCTATTAACCTGCTGTCATCAATGATCACAGAATAGAGTTGTATGCAGGTTCACAGTTTAACAGGCTACTAACCTGCTATCATCAATGATCACAGAACAGAGTTGTATGCAGGTTCACTGTTTAACAGGCTATTAACCTGCTGTCATCAATGATCACAGAACAGAGTTGTATGCAGGTTCACTGTTTAACAGGCTATTAACCTGCTGTCATCAATGATCACAGAACAGAGTTGTATGCAAATTTAATTTTTAACAGGCTATTAACCTGCTGTCATCAATGATCACAGAACAGAGTTGTATGCAGGTTCACTGTTTAACAGGCTATTAACCTGCTGTCATCAATGATCACAGAATAGAGTTGTATGCAGGTTCACTGTTTAACAGGCTATTAACCTGCTGTCATCAATTATCACAGAATAGAGTTGTATGCAGGTTCACTGTTTAACAGGCTATTAACCTGCTGTCATCAATGATCACAGAATAGAGTTGTATGCAGGTTCACTGTTTAACAGGGTATTAACCTGCTGTCATCAATGATCACAGAATAGAGTTGTATGCAGGTTCACTGTTTAACAGGCTATTAACCTGCTATCATCAATGATCACAGAATAGAGTTGTATGCAGGTTCACTGTTTAACAGGGTATTAACCTGCTGTCATCAATGATCACAGAACAGAGTTGTATGCAGGTTCACTGTTTAACAGGCTATTAACCTGCTGTCATCAATGATCACAGAACAGAGTTGTATGCAGGTTCACTGTTTAACAGGGTATTAACCTGCTGTCATCAATGATCACAGAACAGAGTTGTATGCAGGTTCACTGTTTAACAGGCTATTAACCTGCTGTCATCAATGATCACAGAACAGAGTTGTATGCAGGTTCACTGTTTAACAGGCTATTAACCTGCTGTCATCAATGATCACAGAACAGAGTTGTATGCAGGTTCACTGTTTAACAGGCTATTAACCTGCTGTCATCAATGATCACAGAATAGAGTTGTATGCAGGTTCACTGTTTAACAGGCTATTAACCTGCTGTCATCAATGATCACAGTACAGAGTTGTATGCAGGTTCACTGTTTAACAGGCTATTAACCTGCTGTCATCAATGATCACAGAACAGAGTTGTATGCAGGTTCACTGTTTAACAGGCTACTAACCTGCTGTCATCAATGATCACAGAACAGAGTTGTATGCAGGTTCACTGTTTAACAGGCTATTAACCTGCTGTCATCAATGATCACAGAACAGAGTTGTATGCAGGTTCACTGTTTAACAGGCTATTAACCTGCTGTCATCAATGATCACAGAACAGAGTTGTATGCAGGCTCACTGTTTAACAGGGTATTAACCTGATGTCATCAATGATCACAGAATAGAGTTGTATGCAGGTTCACTGTTTAACAGGCTATTAACCTGCTATCATCAATGATCACAGAATAGAGTTGTATGCAGGTTCACTGTTTAACAGGCTATTAACCTGCTGTCATCAATGATCACAGAATAGAGTTGTATGCAGGTTCACTGTTTAACAGGCTATTAACCTGCTGTCATCAATGATCACAGAACAGAGTTGTATGCAGGTTCACTGTTTAACAAGCTATTAACCTGCTGTCATCAATGATCACAGAACAGAGTTGTATGCAGGTTCACTGTTTAACAGGCTATTAACCTGCTGTCATCAATGATCACAGAACAGAGTTGTATGCAGGTTCACTGTTTAACAGGCTATTAACCTGCTGTCATCAATGATCACAGAATAGAGTTGTATGCAGGTTCACTGTTTAACAGGCTATTAACCTGCTGTCATCAATGATCACAGAATAGAGTTGTATGCAGGTTCACTGTTTAACAGGTTATTAACCTGCTGTCATCAATGATCACAGAACAGAGTTGTATGCAGGTTCACTGTTTAACAGGCTATTAACCTGCTGTCATCAATGATCACAGAATAGAGTTGTATGCAGGTTCACTGTTTAACAGGCTATTAACCTGCTGTCATCAATGATCACAGAATAGAGTTGTATGCAGGTTCACTGTTTAACAGGCTATTAACCTGCTGTCATCAATGATCACAGAATAGAGTTGTATGCAGGTTCACTGTTTAACAAGCTATTAACCTGCTGTCATCAATGATCACAGAATAGAGTTGTATGCAGGTTCACTGTTTAACAGGCTATTAACCTGCTGTCATCAATGATCACAGAATAGAGTTGTATGCAGGTTCACTGTTTAACAGGCTATTAACCTGCTGTCATCAATGATCACAGAATAGAGTTGTATGCAGGTTCACTGTTTAACAGGCTACTAACCTGCTGTCATCAATGATCACAGAATAGAGTTGTATGCAGGTTCACTGTTTAACAGGCTATTAACCTGCTGTCATCAATGATCACAGAATAGAGTTGTATGCAGGTTCACTGTTTAATAGGCTACTAACCTGCTATTATCAATGATCACAGAACAGAGTTGTATGCAGGTTCACTGTTTAACAGGCTATTAACCTGCTATCATCAATGATCACAGAATAGAGTTGTATGCAGGTTCACTGTTTAACAGGCTATTAACCTGCTGTCATCAATGATCACAGAATAGAGTTGTATGCAGGTTCACTGTTTAACAGGCTATTAACCTGCTGTCATCAATGATCACAGAACAGAGTTGTATGCAGGTTCACTGTTTAACAAGCTATTAACCTGCTGTCATCAATGATCACAGAATACAGTTGTATGCAGGTTCACTGTTTAACAGGCTATTAACCTGCTGTCATCAATGATCACAGAACAGAGTTGTATGCAGGTTCACTGTTTAACAGGCTATTAACCTGCTGTCATCAATGATCACAGAACAGAGTTGTATGCAGGTTCACTGTTTAACAAGCTATTAACCTGCTGTCATCAATGATCACAGAATAGAGTTGTATGCAGGTTCACAGTTTAACAGGCTACTAACCTGCTATCATCAATGATCACAGAACAGAGTTGTATGCAGGTTCACTGTTTAACAGGCTATTAACCTGCTGTCATCAATGATCACAGAACAGAGTTGTATGCAGGTTCACTGTTTAACAGGCTATTAACCTGCTGTCATCAATGATCACAGAACAGAGTTGTATGCAAATTTAATTTTTAACAGGCTATTAACCTGCTGTCATCAATGATCACAGAACAGAGTTGTATGCAGGTTCACTGTTTAACAGGCTATTAACCTGCTGTCATCAATGATCACAGAATAGAGTTGTATGCAGGTTCACTGTTTAACAGGCTATTAACCTGCTGTCATCAATTATCACAGAATAGAGTTGTATGCAGGTTCACTGTTTAACAGGCTATTAACCTGCTGTCATCAATGATCACAGAATAGAGTTGTATGCAGGTTCACTGTTTAACAGGCTATTAACCTGCTGTCATCAATGATCACAGAATAGAGTTGTATGCAGGTTCACTGTTTAACAGGCTATTAACCTGCTGTCATCAATGATCACAGAACAGAGTTGTATGCAGGTTCACTGTTTAACAGGCTATTAACCTGCTGTCATCAATGATCACAGAGTAGAGTTGTATGCAGGTTCACAGTTTAACAGGCTATTAACCTGCTGTCATCAATGATCACAGAACAGAGTTGTATGCAGGTTCACTGTTTAACAGGCTATTAACCTGCTGTCATCAATGATCACAGAACAGAGTTGTATGCAGGTTCACTGTTTAACAGGCTACTAACCTGCTGTCATCAATGATCACAGAACAGAGTTGTATGCAGGTTCACTGTTTAACAGGCTATTAACCTGCTGTCATCAATGATCACAGAACAGAGTTGTATGCAGGTTCACTGTTTAACAGGCTATTAACCTGCTGTCATCAATGATCACAGAACAGAGTTGTATGCAGGTTCACTGTTTGACAGGCTATTAACCTGCTGTCATCAATGATCACAGAACAGAGTTGTATGCAGGTTCACTGTTTAACAGGCTATTAACCTGCTGTCATCAATGATCACAGAACAGAGTTGTATGCAGGTTCACTGTTTAACAGGCTATTAACCTGCTGTCATCAATGATCACAGAACAGAGTTGTATGCAGGTTCACTGTTTAACAGGCTATTAACCTGCTGTCATCAATGATTACAGAACAGAGTTGTATGCAGGTTCACTGTTTAACAGGCTATGAACCTGCTGTCATCAATGATCACAGAACAGAGTTGTATGCAAATTTAATTTTTAACAGGCTATTAACCTGCTGTCATCAATGATCACAGAATAGAGTTGTATGCAGGTTCACTGTTTAACAGGCTATTAACCTGCTGTCATCAATGATCACAGAATAGAGTTGTATGCAGGTTCACTGTTTAACAGGCTATTAACCTGCTATAATTTTTTTTATTGTCAATGATCAAGAGAATCGACTTGTCTGTTAGTCACTGTCAGGCTACAAACCTTCTACTGTGAAATGATCATAGAACAGTGTTGTCTCCACGCCAAATTGACAGGCTACAAACCTGCCATAGTGCTCAGACTTCCATAGCGAGCCACTGTCTGTCCGCCCTCCATCCCTGCGATCTGATCAGTCAGACTCTGTGACTGTTCACGTAGTGTTGTCAACTCCCGACTCTGCTGTTCCAGGTGTTCCTTGCGCGGTAGTTCCTCCACCCTCCTCTCAAGCTTAATCACCCTTTCAGTCTGGGACACCATTTTCAACTGCGAAGAGCCACATTACATGTCTGTAAGTTGCACTGATTAACAGGCTGATAGCCTGCTGTCATTAATGATCACAGAACAATGTGATCTGCACATTCACTGATATACAGGCTACTGACCTGCAATCATTAATTATCAAGTACAGTGTTATCTGTTTTGTTTGTTTGTTGTTTAACGCCCCATTCAGAAATATTCCAGCTACATGAGGGCAGATTATAAATAATCAAGTCTGGACCAAACACTCCATTGACAGACCTCATGACCATTGATCTACGCAACGGGGTACGACGATATGCATCAATGAAGTCACTGAGTCTGACCACCCGATCATGTTAGTCAGTCGCCTCTTACGACAATGTTGTCTGCAGATTAAGGCTACTAATGTGCTATCATTAATGATCCCAGAATAGTGTGATGTGACAGTGGTAGAAACTAACATTTTTAGTCCACTAGTCCTTATCATTGCTTATAATTATAACATATAGCAAAACCCTTATAAACGGCAAATTTCTACTAATCCTTATGATAGCTTAACTATTGGGCAGTTTTGCAAGGAATACAGGACTAGTGCCGATTTCTAACGCTGTGTCATCTGCAGGTTCACTGAATAACAGGCTACTAACCTGCTACCAATAATTATCACACAACACTGTATTCTGCAGGTTCACTGAATAACAGGCTACTCACCTGCTACCAACAATGATCACACAACACTGTATTCTGCATGTTCACTGAATAACAGGCTACTAACCTGCTACCAATAATGATCACACAACACTGTATTCTGCATGTTCACTGAAGAACAGGCTACTCACCTGCTACCAACAATGATCACACAACACTGTATTCTGCATGTTCACTGAATAACAGGCTACTAACCTGCTACCAACAATGATCACACAACACTGTATTCTGCATGTTCACTGAATAACAGGCTACTAACCTGCTACCAATAATGATCACACAACAGTGTATTCTGCATGTTCACTGAATAACAGGCTACTAACCTGCTACCAACAATGATCACACAACACTGTATTCTGCGTGTTCACTGAATAACAGGCTACTAACCTGCTACCCAGAATGATCACACAACAGTGTATTCTGCGTGTTCACTGAATAACAGGCTACTAACCTGCTACCAACAATGATCACACAACACTGTATTCTGCGTGTTCACTGAATAACAGGCTACTAACCTGCTACCAACAATGATCACACAACAGTGTATTCTGCATGGTCACTGAATAACAGGCTACTAACCTGCTACCTTGAGATGCATTTCAGTTGAAATTTGACCTGCAAAAGATTACTGGCAACACTGGGTCTGCTATTTGTAATCACACAATTATTTGTAATATCCGCTTACCCTCATATCACGGAACGTAGTCTCCAACTTTCCAACACTTTCCTTGAGTGATGCATTTTCAGACAGCGTCTTTTCAAGTTGAACTTTTAGGTGATCTCTTTCTGTTGTGATATTCTGTCAAAAATGGGGGGGCAGTTGTTGAACATTCAGCTCACATCCTTCCTTACATCTAATCAGAGATACCAAATGTTGCCATTCGGGCAGAAACAAAGTGATACTTTTGCCCTAATTTCATCAACATGATGAAGTGATTTATTTTATGATTCATTCAAAATATTTGAGTTATTTTTTAGTTGACTACATATTGACTACGACACAAACATTGTCACATACACAACAATTATTAACCACTTGTTTTAGCTTGTGATGGGAAGGTGTATAGATTTTGAGTGACAAAAAGGATTGCAAAAGATAGTTTATTTTTTATCAAAACCAAACAGTCAAACTACCAATATGGAGGACAGACAGACATGCTAATTGCTATATCCCCCCGTTTTTCAAACCAGGTGGAAAATAACAATAGAATACACAATATCACATAGGTTTAGTAGACTTTCAGATTATACTTAGATCAGTATTCTCTTTTTACATACCAGGGTAATCAACATCAACACAACAAAGTTGAATATCAAACAATTAGGCTTGTTTTACCTTTTTCATAGAAATATTTTTCCTTAATTAGTACTCCTACTTGTAAATGCCTCTCAAAGAAGTAATTTCATTAAACTCGGATTTTACACTGACACCATGTCTTTTCCCAATCACAAAAAACATTTCCAGCTGATCACAGCAAGCATGCAACACTAGAAATACCAATCAACAGATCCACTTAAGTACGCAATTTAGTCCTATTATTACATTATCTGGTTATAAACACATGGTCATTGTATATCTGGACTTATGTTTGTAGCATATTTCATTAATTTTAATCAAAATTTCATTTAATATTGTTTAGATAAATTTCAGCAAAATTGTTTGTAGAGGGATAGGTAGACCGCACAACTCAGTTATTTACAGCAACCACTGACAGATTATCGCTATTGACACTTTGAAACAAACTTTAGTTGACAGAGAATAGATACATATGTCATAAATGCCATACTTTAACTTGTTTAAAATCATATTTGTTGTAGTATTACCATTACATGTCAACAAAGTTTTCGCGATCCGGAGCATGCGAGCCTCGATGGTGACTGGTGTAAAATATTTCATCAAAGCTAGACGTAACAAAGCTTCAAAAGTCTGCACTAGATCTACCGCACGTTACAAATTCAAGGAAATGTAGTCAACTGTCTGTCAGTGAATGATGGGTGAATGATGGGTGAATGACATGACAATTGTGACTTTGGATAGGTCACAAACTAATATCCCAAATGGCTGAAGTGAGTGATTTTTCTGAGCTAGGGCCTTATCTCGGGTGTTTTTGTCTTGCCATATATTTTTCACTAAATACCTTTAAAACACTTCTTTTATGAAAGAAATGTTGGGAGTCTCCGATTCGCTCAAATGGGAGAATCCAGAGTAGAGAGTAACTTCCTCTCAAGTCTCCTTTTGTAGACAATGAGTATGTTACAAATGCTATATTTGGGATAACACTTTCTTAGTAAAGTACAGATTCCAGTAATTTTTTGTTTGAGTACCATCTGGGGTTTAGAACCCACAATGCCAGAGTGAGGCACCTACTCACCAGCACACAAAGTCACAGAGGCTTCCACATACTTTGTACACCCCTCTGACAAGTGTAAATTGGCATGGCTCCCATGGCTGAAAGCTATGAACTGGGGTACACAAAGCATGTGATCAAGACTACCAGTTTTGGGACTGTCATTTTTCACCACTTTCTAAATGGCATTGTATGTTCAATGAATATGTTATGTTTGTAATTGTGAATTGTACATACCGGCTCTTAGTATTCCTAATATAAAGAGGAACACTTCAAACACATTAATAATTGTTTGGTCTTGTTACACTTGTAAACAGAATACCTTCCCACCTAACTCGTAAATCGGTACTTTGTTGTGCAGGACAGATTGAAAAAGCTTATCCCTCCTCCCCTTACCCTTACCTTGGTTAATCTTACTGTGGACAATTCCATTAACTATGGAGATGTAAAAAAACCAATTCACCTGCATAGAAATTGTTGGCGATTTGAAGTGCAGGCGAAAAGCGATGTAGGCAAAATGAGAACATGCAACATACATTTCTTGGGAAATCGTTTTCAGATAACCATTCTTCTTTCACTAATTTTGTGTATTTAAGACAGGAGGTCTTGATTATTACTAAATTACGAAATGTTGCTATGTACAAAAAGGCTACGCCATAAAAGGATTCTACGCTTATTTCACTTTACATGCTTCAAGCAAAAGGATTTCTCTCAGAAACATAAATGAGAAGTGTTGAAGTAATTGCAGGAGTATTGTAGGTGTCTGAGAAAGTAATACACTTACACCGAGTTCAGCTCTGATCTGCATGCTCTGCAAGTCCATGTTTCCAGTATACATTGTCACAAGCTCCAGATGCTGGGAGATATCACGCTTCTCATGTTCAGCAATGTCTTGCGCGCTGCCCTGAAAATACAAATTAAGAAGCTGATTACAATACCAGAACCTCAGAAGGTATTCCAGGGCGGCAGTCCCTATTCAACTGACTTAAATAAGGAACAGGTAGTTACACTGAGTGACCAGGACAATAGTATGTCAACCCATCCTAGTGTTATTAGTTGCTCATGCTTTCAAACCATGGTTATCTGATTCAAGCTGCTGTAACATAGATGTACGACTGCTAACTTTGACATTAATACATAGTATCTGCACCAACATTCCATTCCCCAACATGTGGTTAAACATATTCCTGGTTGCCTTGCTTCACTGCTTCTGTGGCTGGGTCATGGACTCCTGCTAAAACACATGGCCCTCCATTCCCCTCTTTCACACACGTGTCTCTGGTCATAAATTTATTTTTATATTTATTTTATTAGCTTACAATAAGTATTGAAATCAATCTGAAACATAGTATTACCTTAAATTTACATTTATTCATTCTTCAACATAATGGTCATGACTTGGCATTTACATTCCTTCAATAAATCAAGAGACTTATCATGGACCTATTGGCAGTCCTTGCAGTCTTGTCAAATTTGTTTTGTCTGCTACATTATAAGTTGTAGTACTATCGCCTCAGGCTTGTGGTATAAAACCTAACCTAGGACACATAAAACGTCTACCCTGAGTCATATTGCTACAACGAATTTATCTTACCGACATAATATGATATAACATTGTAAAAGAATTAAAACAAATTTATAATTGATAAATTTAAAAGTTGTTCTATTGAACTGAGGTAAACTTGTGCTATGTAATGTGACTTTCACTGACTCGGTAAAAGTTTGTCTTGTTGCTTCCAAGCGGGGTATAACAGATTTATCCTCCCTCTCAGAAATCCATGTGCAGCCTGTCTTGTACGTTGCAAAGTGATTTATTCTGCTGCTGAGCAATTTATTTCCATCCAAGGCAGGATACATAGTATTTTTATCAAGATCAAGTGAACCAATCAGACCTCATCATTTCTGACATGGAGGTGTGATTACAACAATAATGACGTATGTGATCAATCTATCTGTAAACATGATAAAGGATTACCTACACAGAGACAATGCATGCCTCAGGTTCACACATGGACCTAATCACAATGTCCTTGACACAAACTGGGAAAAGGCATCAGACCATGGAGCCTTCACATGTTAAGTTGCAATTACATAAATTACTTACGGTATATGTACATCCGACAGACTTGAATTTGCATTCCTGTGGTTTCTTCTTACAAACATTGAAATGGCGCTCCAGCTAAAATTCAAAACACCAATTCTTTCTCAAACATGTACTATCATAGTCAACATCAAGGTCTAGTTGAGTCCACTAAAAGCCAAAACATTGTAATTAGGAGATAGATGTATGTATATGAACATGGAAGATGATGGAATAGTACAATAATATGTTTTATCTGTAAATAGGCAAAGCATTGTATATCTTGATGAATTTTACTTTCTGTGATTTGTCCCAGAAACAAACTTGATATGTTGCTCCCATCCATTAGTCGCTTTCTCTGACAGTTCTGCAAAATTGCTAATGCAGCATTTTGCAATGTTCAGTTGTGCTGCCCCAAAATGCCATTTATACCATAAAACATGAATTTGAAATGAGCTGTATGTTTATGAAGGTCATAACAGTGTATAAATGTAAGTCTTCTCACTTACTGGTACATGTACATTCAGTGAGTGAGTGAGTGAGTATGGTTTTACGCCGCTTTTAGCAATATTCCAGCAATATCACGGCGGGGGACACCAGAAATGGGCTTCACACATTGTACCCATGTCGGGAATCAAACCCGGGTCTTCGCTTTAACCACTAGGCTACCCGACCGCCCCGCATGTACATTCAGGTCAAATGTATCTATTCAGAACATGTATCAATCACCTGTTTGATTACTTGAATAACTCTCCTCTTTTATACATGTTTTTTTCTATTTACAGCTCAGGGTGAAACATGGTGGTCCGCACGCACCATTTCAGCATTCGGTAGTAATTTTATTATGACATAAGAAAAAAAGCCCAAAAAGGAGGATTTTCAGACTCAGGGCAAAGTAAATTTTTACAAACCTGTAGATGTTATGAATTCTCTGATGAAATCCTCCTTGGGGCACTTATTGCATTTTCCTGGCTCAAGAAAATCTACATGACATAGTTGTAACCATTTTCCTTAATAAAAATTGTTACCACACAAAAAACTATGTTTTTGTATGATATACGTCCACCCTTATGGTGCCTCACCCTCCACGGCGCGTCACGCCAAGGGAAGCAACTCTCACCCAAATCACTTTCCATATGTCTAATGCTGACGGAATGTGGGGAGGCGGGTGGCCGTGCCCCAAGGAGGATTTCATCAGAGAATTCATAACCTCTACAGGTTTGTAAAATTCTCTTTCAGATTAAATCCTCCTTGGGGCACTTATTGCATCAAGATAGACTCCTAAAGATAATCTAGGAAGTGGCATCCGTCAGCAACAAGCGTGCATAAATACATCGTATTTTGATTATTTCAATGAATAAACAAGAGTTCAATAAATGGAACCAACCTTATCGTGAGGCACCACCGTCGAAAGGCGGGGGCTGGAGACAGGGCGTTATCGACCATACACAATGAAAAGAGCCATTCTTTGTGGCTTATCATATCGAGAACTCGAGACACACACACACCCCACCCCACCCACTTTTTTGAACAAGTGATATTGGGGGCACAGATCACGAGAGACTATAAACCCGCACAGAGCTAGGCCAGAGGGTCCCCGTAAATCGAAGGAGTGCATGTGCAAATACGATGATTATCGAGTAGTAATGGCTGGTTGTATCGACCGTAGAAGATAAAATCCGGACCGTTACTGAGCAGTGTTATAACCGGTCCGGGCGGTCTAAAATCTCGAAGGCTCAATCGGCTAGAGATGTAGAACTTTGCCCAGTTCAGAGAACTGACTGACCAAACCGAGCACGCTCGCTTGAGTGTTTGTCGAGTTGGTAATGTTTAATGAACGTGCACCCTGATAACGTGTGAGTCGCACCATAGGAGGAACTGCCACGTCTCTTGGAGAAGCGACGGAGACACCGTTCCCCCCTGCTTCCGGATGTAAGTCATCGCCGTTTGGTTGTCCATCTCTAGACGCACCACTTGGCCACGAAGCAGATCCAGGAAGCGTTGGAACACCAACCTGACCGCTCTCAGTTCTAGCACATTGATATGCAGTTTGATCTCCTGCTGGGACCATAGTCCCGAGGCAGTGTGATCGTCCAGAACGCCTCCCCAGCCGGAGAGTGACGCGTCTGTTTGAACTGTGAGAGACGGCACGGGAGTGTCGAGGGGGAGCCCCCGGGACAGATTCCCGACCTCGGTCCACCACTGAAGGTGTGCATTGAGCCACTGCGGAGTCTCGAGAACAGTCTCGAGATCTTCCGAGTTCACCCAAAGTCGACGGAGCGCCTGTTGAATGGGTCTCATTCTCAAGCGCGCCCGCCAAACCACATCCACTGTCGCCGCCATGTTGCCCAGTAACTGGAGCCATGTACGAGCAGTGTGACTGGCGGACAGAAGGAACTGGGAAGTTACACTTCTGACCTTGGTAATGCGATTTTGTGACAGAGATACAAGTCCGCTCACCGTGTTGAAATTCGCCCCTAGGAAGACTAGATTCTGAGTAGGGCTCAGATCTGACTTCTTGAGATTGACTATCCACCCTAGAGTGATCAGAATATCTATCACTTGTTGTGTAGCTATCTGACTCAGGGATTGCGATAGAGCTCTTAGTAACCAGTCGTCGAGGTACGGATGGCAGAACCGACCTTTTGACCTGGCCACTTGGGCGGGAATCAACATCAGCTTGGTGAACACCCTCGGGGCCGTAGCGATCCCGAATGGTAGAACCCTGAACTGATAACACCTCCCGTCGAAAGAAAACCTGAGGTATTTCTTGAACTCGGGGTGTATGGGTACGTGGAGATAGGCGTCTTTTAGGTCTATTGACGTTAGCCATTCTCCGGTCTCGACAGCTGAGATCACCGAGCGCAGTGTCTCCATCCTGAAGGACGGTACCTCTATAAGTTTGTTCAGCCTTCTCAGATTGAGAATAGGCCTGAACCCTCCGTCTTTTTTGGTGACTAGGAAATATGTCGAGTAGAAGCCCTCGCTTTCCTGTCCCACGGGAACCGGTTCGATCGCAGCCTTCATAAGAAGTGCGTCGACCTCGGCACGGAGGAATTCCGTCCTCTCTAGGGTAGCAGGCACCGGAGTGTGCTTTATCCCGGAGAAGGGGGGCGGATGATGTTTCCACCGAGGCAAATGGCCATCCCTTAGAGTGGACAGGGTCCAGGGATTGGATGTGACTGTCTCCCATTCCTGCAGGAATAGAGCCAGTCGGCCGCCTACGGGGACATCTGGCTTGAGGCAGTGGACCCCGGCTGTCGGCAGTTCGATAACATGCGACCGTGGGTCCGCCCGGGGCGCTTCGGGCGCTAATGGGTTCCCGGCCCCGCGAAAAGGCTGCTGGCCTCAACCAGCTGCCCTGCCCCGGCCCCTGCCTCTCTTGCTCCTCCCGGCGCCCTTACCTGAAGGAAGCGGCTGCTTCCAAGCAGGTGCAGACTTCTGACCCGGCGCATCAGCGTAGGAGGAAGCAAGTGGAGAGGTCCGCTTACGCGGTTTAACGCATGGTACCTCCAACAAGGCCTTAGAATCCTTGATGGAGGCATACAACTGTGCGGCCTCTCGGACCACCTGCTGAGCCCCAGGGAAGAGGGTGGCACCCATCTTATAAGGCAAAGCAAGTAAATCCTGGCGTGTGGAAGCCGAGTATTTGGATACCGACATCCACAGCCTGCGCATGCCCATGACTGCGCACATCATCTGCGAGGCACAGCTACGAATAGCGTCCCTAGCAAGATGACTATGTACCTCCGTAAGTTGCGCGGCCAACTCCGAAGAGTCGGCCGGCCCCTCTCCCGCTAACTCCCTCTGTACAGCCGACAGATAAGCGGAGTGTACGGACACCCGGAGCTGCTGACATGCGTTACGATATTGCTCCTCGAAGCAAACGTAAGCAGCCTTCAGCTCCGTACCGCACGCGGGAAAGGGTGGCAACCGCCGGCCCTGCTTGACCTTAGCCAAGTTGGGGGTCGAAGACCCCCCCAGGGTAACGGAGGTCCAGACGCATTCGTCCACCACCGGTACCTCAAAATCACCATCCTCTGCTAACGGGTACCGCTTAATAAGTTCGGGCAGGTCGAACTTCCTGCGGGCACCCGACAACAGAGGGTTGATGACTTCATGCACCAATGAGGACAGAATACGGAGCCGCACCTGGGGCGCCTTGCTCGGAGCAAAAGCGTCCCCCGGAAGGCGGAACTCAGTCGGATCCGACTGGGGCATGGGCGCAGCCACCTGAGGCAGTACCCGTACATGCCTCAACGAGGAAACGAAGGAAAATATTCCCGAGGTCTCCGAGTCGTCTCCCCCCTCCTCCATCCACTCCTCCTCTCTCGATTCCGAGCCGAAATTAATCGACTCTTCCCCGAGAGAAGCGGCAGACGAAGTCGGAAGGGGACGCCCGAAGGCCTGGGCCTTCGCATCCCCGGGCTGCACCCGGCCGGAAGCCGAGTCCTGGTCCCGAGGTGCCGGGGGTTCAAGGGAACCCACCTGGCTCTGGGCTAGAAATCCGCTAGAGGAAGCCTCGGCCTCGGAAGAGGCGTCTGGCTCCGCTAGGGAGAACTGTGCGTCGGTAGTGAACGGGCCAGTGCCCGCCACCCCTCCGCTGGGGAGCGACCTCGAGCCGGCGCCGAAGCCCGGTCTGAGATCGTCCACGAGACCAAGTGGCCTGCCTCGGCCGACGTCGGGCATATCACAAGGTCTCGAAGCCGCGTCCGGCGCCGACAACGGGGAAGGCTCGGTCCGCATCTCCTCTCGGAGCTGAGACTTTACCTCCTCCATCATCGACGCCATCTGCGACCTCAACAAGGCAGAGATGTCTGCCAAAGACGGTGCAGGAGAGGGTGCAGTGATTGTGACGGGGACCCTAGAGCCTTCTCCCCCGGCCCCCGGGGAGGGAGCGGAGGAGACAGTCTCAGCTGCTTTTTTACCCTTTCTTACTTTTTTAGAGGGGGGGGGGGGGGGCGGTCATTGCCGATCTAATGTCCACCCCCGCCTTCAATAGACCCTTAAAGCGTAAGAGGTCCACATTTCTCTTTTTCTGCGCCCGTGGTGTGAATGCAACACAGATCGGGCATGACCCATCGTCATGCCCGTCTTCGGCCAAACACTTTATGCAAGTATCATGCCTGTCTTGGGGGGGAATCGAAGCCGAGCACCCCGTACACAGTTTGAAGGTCTGTAAAAAAGACCGTAATTTTTTAGTTTGGCGGGAAGGGTAATAAAGTGTATCAGTGCGATTGAAAGATCGGAAAGATACGTGCATAAATTGTGTAACTAGAAGCAAAGGCGTAATTTAGAATGCGATTGGTAACGCGATACTAATAGCCAATGTCGTAGTATAATTATAACACCAAAGTGGGCGTGTTACGCGCGAAGGTGTAAAAAACCCGTAAAAAAGGTAAGTGTAATTTAAAAATAATTAACACACCACCTTGGGTTTAATTTAAAGGAAAAGATTGTAGGTTAAAGCCCGATGATATAACATTAAAAAACCCAAACCGTTTTTGATGGCCCTGGTGTTACATGTATCATACGTGGCACTACAAAATGGACGCTACGACGGCCTTTGATTCAAAGGTATCGTACACGTGTCACATAATTACAACTTTATAACTTTATAATGCGAGGTATTACGCCTTTGCATGAAAGAAATGTACCATACATACAGTTTGGTCTGCCATGGTTCTTGTACGAACGTTTATTATCTTGTACTTTGTTTTGTCTTGAAAAAAACAGCACGTCTGTCTTTGTCAGATGACATAAGGAAAGTGATTTGGGTGAGAGTTGCTTCCCTTGGCGTGACGCGCCGTGGAGGGTGAGGCACCATAAGGGTGGACGTATATCATACAAAAACAAAGTTTTTTGTGTGGTAACAATTTTTATTAAGGAAAATGGTTACAACTATGTCATGTAGATTTTCTTGAGCCAGGAAAATGCAATAAGTGCCCCAAGGAGGATTTAATCTGAAAGAGAATATACATGTTGAAAATAGACACTTGCTCTGTGTCAGTTCATCTAATGTTTACAGGCTTTTAGGAAGGTACTTATATGTTATCACTATCCTAGCAAGTAATTTTCAAGTTATGTTGCATCTCTGCTATAGATACATACCTCCTTTCTCTTCATCTGAGGCGCACCACACTTGTAAGGGCATGCAACATTTGCTTCAGGGCAGTCTGACTCCTTGTGTTTCTGTTGATTAACCATTTAGAAATTTCAGTTTCAGTGTAGGTTTATAATGACAATTCAACACAAAACTTGCGTCTTTAATACCCAAGACATATTCAAGATAATACATACATAACAAAGTTTGGCATAAGGGGATTCTCACTGTATGTTAGATAAATGTGACTATAAATGCTATTGGTACATGTACATGACTGAGCATCAGCCATGCCCAGATAGGGATTGACTGACCTTGCACAACTGACAACCTTCCCAAGCATTGGGTAACACAGGCGAATCGACTACATGAACCTGACTTAGGTGTACCTGACTGAGCACTGGTCAGGCAAAAGCTGTTTGGATCAATGGCCGAGAGTGATACAGAGAATTACGGACCTGTTTCGACAATTGACTACACATCTATCATTCTACGGATATAACGCATCGGATGATAAATACATGGAGGTCAAGCATGACCTGTGATCTGACAACAGGCATCCAATGCATCCTATCAGTAATTATGACTGCAGGGGTAAAATAGGGTGAAATTGGTGTCAAAAGGAATCAATAAGGGATAAAAAAAGAGTCTTTACCAGGCACGTCTTATTAAAATGATGTGAATGTGGTTCAGGGAACTGTATCAACATCAGTGCAACCAGGCATGACAGGCATCATTGAAGCAGCTGGGATGTTTGGAAGTGAAAAGCTTGGTGTTGGATGCGGTCGAGTGTTAGAGACAGTCTGAGTCAATAACAAGTTATGTCTTCATATGACTAACCCACATAATGTTGAATCTGAGCTTGTGGCTGGATCTGTAGTTGGAACTTTCTCACCTACATTAACTACTCTTTATATTGATCAAATCTGTATACCTGTGCCATGGCGATGGGGATGGGCTGTCTGCACTGGTCACACTGAACTTGGCGATATTGACACTGCTTCACATGGGCATCTAGGGATTTCTGGGGGAGAATTTCCTTACATCCATTGTGCCTGTTGGGGCATTCAACAGGCTTGAAGGTGCAGTCAGTGGCATGTTTCTGGAAAGAAAAGTGCATACTATACTTCAAAAATTTCTGAAATATTCAAGGATTGCGACAATCTTCTTTTAATATGTAGGATTCATATCTATGGCTGGTCACTATTTTGTAACAGATATAATTACTCTAATTTATGCTGTTTATCTTGTTGGGCACACGGACATGCCTTTATGTACAAGAAGTTCCTGGATGGAACAGTTTGAACTTTTTTAGGCAGGCTGTACCTTTATAAGAGGGACAAGAGGGCGATTCAAGGCCTTATTGACCGGACTTAATTCATATGTACTTGTCAAGACATTCAACAGTATGCTTAACATTCATGAGTGCACTATAGGGCTCAGGTGGGTAACTCGGGTACTCGGGTCGGGCAGGTACTGAGTAGGACCCAGGTACCCACAGGACTACCCAGACCTGCGGTTAGTCACGTGATATATTATTTAATGACTTCCATGTATGCATGACCAGATCGTTTTATACATGTATCTAAATACATTTTACCAAGGCTACGGTCAAACTATTCCCAATGGGACATTTTGTACCCAACTCTTGAGACCTGTAGTGGGTACCCGGGTAGGGTCGGGTAGTAGCATAGTGGGTACCCGGGTAGTAAATTTGGACTCGTCTCAGCCCTAGTGCACTAACATTAATCATATGATACATTACTTCCTACTGCTGCCACCTGTTAGACCCATTGTCTTGTCCTTTTCATTGTAAACATAAAACATCTTCTTAAATAATTGATTGATTATTCATTGATCTTGCATGGTCATATACTGTTTTCACAATTTAGTTGAGTGCAAATCAATTTCTGGGTTAGCCTTTACCTTTCAAATAGGAAATCACCACATAACAATACCTCTTTAACATATGTTTAAGGTATGAGAAAATAAAAGAAATCTTTCATGGCTAGTAAAGTGCAGAATGACAAGTGCATTATTAGAGCCAAAAAATGTCCCTGAATAAAATGATTATTTATGCAGAACTTCCAAGAATATTAATGAAATCTAGCACTGAGCACAATCTGAGTGAAGATAGTTATGTACTTCAGACATCTTACTGCCTCTCAGGGACGGCAGTGAGAATTGTTATGCCCTAGCTGAAATTCAGGACAGAGCAAATTTTGCCTATACGTGCCACAGTTAATGTCACATATACACTAGATCTTTCCTTCAGTCACCTAAGAGCCATTCATAATACATTATTGACATAATACTTGGACATTTATATGATGATCTATTGATGCTTGAAATAAGGTCATGATTGCTATGCAAATGTCCTTCAGTCTGGCTTACATTAACATCTTTCAGTGGCACATTTCTTCCACATCCGTAGCTCTTGAATGGACAGTAGACAGGCAAGTTTCTGATTTCTCTTCTGGCACTTACATCAGGGTAGATCTGGAACGTTACAATCGAAACAAAAACACATTAATCATAAGTCTTCCCTTGGATAGATAATTAACAGCAGTGTATCATCACAACATAAATTGTTAATGATCCTAACCATTCTGATTGTGTTACTCATGTGTTCAGTTTTGCACTATATTTTCAGATTGTCCTTGAGAGTCAAATAACAATATACATGGACTATATGGTCAAGACAGGTAATAAATTATGACCATTCTCTTTTATGTCGTTTATGTACAATATATTGCCGTCTAAAAAGCGACCCAACCTATAAGATGACATCCCCTGTACAAGTCTTCAAAATCGATGCTAATTTATATATCTCGTCTGCAAAGCGAATCTGAATGAAGCATATCACCAGCGCATACACAATCCCTACATCTGCAATAAAAACATGTTTGTCTTCTGCAGAAAAAAAATACATTGCATCCCTTCAGCAAAATCAGCGAAACAGAAAACGAAATGATTTAAACATGTTATAAAAACATGAATTTTGTTACAAAATTAAAAGAATTAATTACAAGAATTTTTAAAAAGGAAGATTTACTAGAATAGTCACCTAATGGAAAATCTAAAACTGACTTCTTTTTTTTAGTGTTTCATTTACATGTTTGGTAAAGTTTTACGCCACTTTTGCATTATTCCAGCAATATCATGGCAGAGGACACCAGAAAATGGGTTTCCACAGTATACCCATTTGGGAAATCGAACTTGTGACTTTGGTGTGACAAGCAAGCGCTTTAAACACTGGGCTACCCCATCGCCCCTGTTTTGTATGTAGGACTTCGGATAACATATACACTGAGCAAATGACTTAGTTATTTTTGAAAATGAAAAAAATAATATTACATCACTTCTCATGAGCTTTTCACAGTATTCATCAGCTTGTGGACAAGTTACTGGCTCGCCCTGCTGGAAAAGTGCTTCAACACATCCTTCACACAATCTGGAAATGATAACTAAAGTTGTTAGTATCACTTATTTCAGCTTTTGTTCTGTTTATATTATAAGCCCTGTGGGCATTCTGGGTAAGAATTGATCCCCAGCACCTGAGTCGGTTGTGAGAGATGACTCTTCGAGTCTAGCGACCAGACTTGGTGACTTTGTTGATAGAATTCCATTGCAGTAAAATCTGCACCCCAAAGCCATGGATCATTGTGTTCATATGTCAATCAATGGATTGTCTGGTTCAGACTCTATTCCTAAGAGGCCTCAATCACATAGCTGGATTATTGTTGGGTGTGGCCGTTACACAACAAACACACACACACACTCATATAAAAAATATATATTTCTGATAAACGCTGAATGGAAATGTTGTCACTGTTCTGCAGGTCAGTCCATCTCACTCAATTTCTTCTGTCTAATGATTATGACTGTGGCCTCTTTAACTTGAACTTGCACACATTACCATCCAAATGACAGATTGTGAATAAATCGTGATGTGCCTGTCACCCTCACCTGTGTCCACATTTGGTTTGAACTGGATCCTTTAAGACATTGTGACAGATCGCACATCTGTACCTGAGAGGAAAAGAAACTAAAGATATGAATTGAGTGAGAACATTATTCAAGATTCAGCCTATTTACTGAAGTAAATGCATCATCTTAACCTCCCAGTTGGATTGGAGACTATAGTTGTCCGAGTAATATAACATGGTCTCAGGAGAGAGACCTGGAACAAAAAACATAAGCAGTTCTTGACAGAGTTAATGTATAAATGAATTCTACTTTCGGATATAAAACCAATCCATATTTTTAGAAATCGCATGACCCCATGTAATGCATTGGTGTTGGAACATATATATAGAGAGAGAGTTTTTCTATATTTAGTTGCAGGCTGCCACAACGAGGAATAGAAAATATCTTCCTGTTTTTTCAAGCCTTTCTTTGTAAGGCGATATGTCCGGAGTTCGTTGCCATTAGGGTTACTCTGGTCATTCTACAATTTACAGAACCAGTTACTTTCATCTAGCCAATATAAGCAATGTTGAATATTTTGTAAATCCATACTAGGCACACTCACAAAGTCATAAATATTTAACCTTTTAACTAATTCATATACATTTTCTTCCCACAAGTGGCCTCTATGGGTAGACCATGAATGAATACAGCCAGGGAGTCTGTGTCATGGCTTATTTTTTTAAACGCTGGAGAATTCAGAAGACAAAGTCTTTGTTCATTCTCACTGGACGACCATCCCATATCCCCCTGAGCTGCAATAGTTGACGCGTTCCGGTTCCAGAAAGAACTTACATACTATTTTGAGTATTATATTTTAACGCCTTTGTACATACATACCCTAGTAGCACAGCCCTACAGGGTTATTGGTTGGACCAGTGATTCATATGGTTTTGTAAATACATCATAGATAAAACTACCTGTATGAATATACTTAGTGCACCGTGCACCTAGTGCGAGGCTGGTGTCCTCCCCATTGGCCTACGTCCCATTCGGCTTAAGCTTTTAGAGGATTAAATTACGGTAAGTAATCGCTTGGTTGATCACTCACTGAATACCCGTCTCCCCCAGAGTGATGAAAATGGACCAGTCCAACAACGGAGAAATACAAGCTAACAGAAGAATTTAATGTAATTTAATAAGGATTCCTACTGCATCTGCTAATGCCAAGGAAGATATTTCTCCTTGCTGGTGTCTGTCTCGGAGTCTGGACAGCTGACCATCGAGGTACACAATGCTGGTGTTTTTCTGCGTTGTCTGTACAATCCACTCTTCATACTAACAAAGGGAGGACATTGTGCAGCTTCTGCTGGGGCAAGGTTGTTGATTTCTTCATTGTAGATTTGAGGCATAGGATCCGATCTCAGGCTCTTTTTCTCATGTTGTCGATTACTCTTAGTGTCATTCTCGGGTGGATGATTGAGGACATCAGACATATCTCTAAGAAAGTTGCAGTTGACCCCTTTCTGTTAATTCTATATTTAAAATTGTCAATCAAAACTTGACGACCACCTCTCTGTGACTGAATATACTCAACTCTCTGAATACCTGCCATTATGAAGAATGATGCACTGATAACCGTTAGTACTTTTATACTATGAATACTGAGAACAATGTTTTGTTATCGAATTAACTTCGTTATCATTATCCGTATACAATGGTATGTGATCAAAGAAATACAACCAATAAAAGTTAATCCTATTGACTACATACACAATAGGCAAAGAAGCCAGTTATTAGTGGTGTAACAATACATCGAATTATCGATTGATTGCGATTGCTTGTCTCACGATAGTACACTATCGATTGCAACTTGAAACAATCGATACTATTGGCAATAGATTGTCTTAACTATCGATAGTTTCAGAGACAGAGAAGCAAACAGTAAGTTGTAGAATCTGTCGGATAATTCTAAAGTATTCAGGAAATACTACTAATCTGACCGATCACTTGACAAGACGGCACGCAGATATTCGTCCACGTGAAAAAGGGGGATCAAATACTAGTAGTCATTCACTCACATTCATTCACGTTGGTGCTAAATCACTGCAGTAACCTAAGACTTTACCAGTAACATCAACTTCACAGAAGAAGCCTGTGTGAAACAACAAGAGCTAATTAAGCTCAAACCAAGCCATCTTTGTCAATAGGGGTGTAGGTTGTTTAAAATAATCTGTGGTAGGCCAAATGAGAAAGGTCATATCTGTTTCTTTAGGCCATATGGGACGTAGGCCAATATGGGATGCACCGCGAGGCTGACCAACTTGCCCAGCTCATGTATTTACAACTGTAAAATCTAACTGTTCATTAAGCCATAACCCAAGATATTTTTAGTTATCTAAGTAATAAATATTCACCTTGCCTATGGTGAAATTGTATTGCGAACGTAACACAGATGTCCGTCTTAACTGTAAAATTTTAGTCTTATTTTGATTAACTCTGTCTGAGTCACCACATACGACACCAAGAATGGACATGGTCTAGCAAACACTGCAATTTGTCTTCCCAAGGGGCAATCAACACGACATTGTCTGCATACAACAAAATATTGACAGTACTGTTGTTAACATCAATACCACAATTTAGTTCTGGAAAAGACTCCACTTGGTCATTAACATACAGCAGGAACAATAACAGAGAGATCAAACAATCTTGCTTTACTCCACGACCGCTAAACCATGGTGACAGATGACCATTATCTCTGACAGTGTATTGCACATCCTCATATAGACTTCACAGCATCCAGCAGTTTACCGGTGACACCATAACAAAACATAACATTCTTAAACCACGAACAGTCACGGTTGAAATTATTGAAAGATTTTTTCATAATTATGAAGCAACAAAATGTAGACTGTTTTGAGTATTTTCTGTTTCTTTACAATGTTAAACGTGGTAAGTTGCATGCAATGCATGGAGTTGGTATTGTGTGTAAGAAGCTACGGTAGTCACATGACCTAACATCGCGACGTCCATGGATTGGTCGCGAGCTATCATTCATTCTAGAGTAAGTACTTGAAATTTGGTAAGTTGATGACGTATAGTATTCGAAACTTGGTAAGTTGATCATGTTGATGACATATAGTATTCGAAACTTGGTAAGTTGATGACGTATAACGTAGGATAGCGGTACTATGGCGATGGTGTAGTAAAGACTGTTTTGATTGATACAAAGTGTTTGTTGAGTTTGAGTCAAATCTGGGTTGTCAAAAAGGGAGCATAATGCCAGGCAGAGATACAACAACATATATTGACAGTAGCAGGTGACCGCGCCTAGGTGAACACTACCAAGCTGACTGTCGTTCATTTCCCGATGAACGTCAGTATGTCAAGTGATTATGTTGTCATACAGAACTACTTTAGGGGAATTCCTCAATGTCTAAAAATATCTTTAAAAATCATTAAGGACAACTGACAACATGATTCACGCTATGAATTATGCGGGCTTTGAGGCCAAACAGATTATACATGTCGAAATGAAGCGTCCATTTGAGGTGAGGTGAGGTGAAATTGGGTTTAACGTCGCGTCCAAGATTATTGCACTTATATAGCGACGTGCATGCACGTGTATGTGTGTGTGTGGCTGCTTGTACTAGTCCGGACTGATGCCGATTTATAGTGCTAGCTCACTGAGATACCATGCCGCAGTTTAACATGAATACCCCACTCAGACACAGTATACTGACTCCGAGCCGACCAGTCCTTGTTTTAGCCCCTTAATGCCGAGCGCCAGACAGGGTAACAACAAGTACAATCTTTTAACGTCTTTTTGTATGACGCGGCCCGGGATCGAACCCTGGACCTTCCGCTCTCCGGGCGGACGCTCTACCACAAGACCACGGAGGCGGTGCGTCCATTTGAAGCTATAACAGAGAATGCTCGACTTACCAAAAGAAATCGCTGAGCTCTACACTGCCGTGTACTGCTTCGAGAAATCCAAACGCGCCGCCTCAAGCGGTAATCCCCGTCATCAACAGTCATAGTATGACTCAAACACACACCCAAAGTTCACAGAACGTTAATATCAATCCATTTTCAGCCCCAGCCGCGTCTGGATTTCTTTCCAACGCTAACTTTTTCTGGGTGCTCATTTCAAGTGAATGACATTTCCGTAGCCGCCATTTTCTACTATTTGTAACACCAAAGGATGTCACTCCAAATGGAATGTTTGGGACAGATGACGTCACGACTCTCCGCGTTGATATAGTTAGCTTTAAATAATTAAAGTATAATGTTAAATGGATAGTTTTGTTATGATTTATTTATCTGTCAATATAAGCACTTCATGGTAAATTTGCTCACGTGCGGCACTGTCTTCTTCAGCTGATGAACGTCAACAAATACAACTTCAATCCTTAAATGAATAGCCTGATGAATATTGTCATGCTCTGTATATAAGGCATCTTCCGCGTTTCCTTCATTCAGAGCAGAACTTACCATAACAGTGTACTCAACCAATGTCGTTTGACACCAAAGCATTTGTCATGTTAGAATGGAGAAAAACACTGTGTTTTCAATGTAGGCTCCCTGTAGAAACCTTAAAACTTGAAACCTCACCCCCAATGTTTATCTATTAATAATAAAATTACCTTTCATCTACATTGACAAAGTCCGGCACATGATCTTCCAATGACACCAGGCTGCTCTCGGCCAGGGATGAAAATGGACTACTTGAAGACGTTGATGCCATGTGAACCGCTGAAAATATGGGAGATTATCATATCATGAGAAGGTTTTTTTGGCACTACAATATCAACTTATAAACAGTACCGATTCCCTTACGGAGTTCCTGTTGCCCCTGTATGGCTGCTTAATCACTGAGCTTGTGATGTAAGTATCTGCGTAAGATAATACAATATTTTTCATGTTGCCTGTGTGATCCTTAGAAGTTCTCTCAAAATAAAACTACACTTTGCCTATACATCCTCATGGATAAGGTTGCTTTTGTACCTTCCACACAGGGTCTAAAACTTTCAGAGCTTTGTTTGTTCCATCTGCAGACCTTGAATCTTCGTCGGTAGTAGTAGCAATGCTCCAAGCTCCTCACAGCGATAGTACGTTCCCGGAGCTCTCTATACTATCGCTGCCACCAGTCAAAACTCCCCACTGTGAATAGGTGGCCACAACCATGCTTGGAGTTGAACTAGCAACCGAATGACCGTTATGTTTACAAACAAGTGACGACTGTCGTGACGCCGAATACACTTATCGCTGCTAAATTACTTTCTTCGTTTGTCAATTTGAATTTCTGTTTCATTAAAACTATCGTGTTATTGATATAGTAAGAATGTAAGGGAGAAGTTGGTTGATTTTCCGTTAGTCTGCAATCTCGAACCAATCTGATTATCAAAACAACAAAGTAAATTCATCTGGAAAACATGGTCAGTCGTAAACCTTTTCAAATTGAAATATGATGGCATTCCCAAAGACATAAACAAAAGTATAAACGTTACTACATATGGGGTTGGAGGGCAAATTTCAAGATTCTTGAAATGGCCGCGCCCACACTGGTGGCAGCGATGTTACTGAGAGTGTAACGAAGGTGTCACGCGCTGGGAAGGAGCTTGGCAATGCTCATGGCAAGAGGAGGTAACTCTTCCTGCAATTATTCTCAAAGCTGGTTTACCACACCTCAGAGGGTCGGTTCAAAATCCCATCTCTAAACTCATTGATTAACGCAGAAAGCGATAAAAACAGCGTACATCACAAACTAGGGTAAAGGTTGCATGCGTATTTCATAAGCTGCTATTTTTAGAATTTTCTTCGAAGTTGAGTTACTTTGATGAAGTCATCAGTTATTCTTAAAACTATCAACACAGCCGAATACGCGATTGTAAATAGGTTTATTCTCTCCTGCAATCATTTGTTATAATTTTCAGTGTGTTGTAGATGTAATTAATAAGGGACAATATACAAAAAAAATAATTAAATCGGACCTCACCCTACTTCTATTAGCGGTATGCAGGTTTTACATAACTATGCAGTTACTTCCCTTCGGATATTTTTCACAAACACTACAGTATTTGTTTTTAACAATCCTCGTAATTTGAGGCAGTAAATGTAAGAATGTTGTATTGGAGAATATATTTATGACATTGGGGTATTTTGGGCGTTGACAGTTTAAAGTTTTAAAAATACTAAATTAACTGTCAGGCTGAACCATTTCACATTGTCAATGTCATGTGTTTGTGACTGAAACATGTTTATTATGATTAAAGAACGTAGTTTTAACGTAGATAGGAGGAACAATTATGATATCATGTATATGTGTTACACTAAGTAACTAAATGTATGTTTTAATTAATGTAAAGTACAGTGAACTTGTATGAAATATTGAACACCAATCTGAATCATTGGGGATGGGGTGGGGCAAATTGGATGACTTGAATAATCTTGATACTTACAGAAAATTGAGAGATTGTGAATCTGTAACATCAATTTATGCTCAATGTTTGTCAGAAAATAATAAGGTTGCACAGTGGCTTCATGATCATTTTGAGTGTGAACTTAGTGAGCAAAAAATTTCTTCAAGAGAAACATTGCATCACTTGTTCAATTCAGCAGTATTAGGTAGTAGTAGTGGGTCTGGTTCCTTTTCATTGCTGAGATCAAGATCCAGAAACGTAGCATTGAAAAAGCAAAGAAAAAGTTTGGAAAATTAGCAGTAAAGTTTGAAAATGTTCCCATTACTTGAACAGTTACAACTTATTGACAGCATGAAAGCACAGCTTGATGTGAGTGTAGCTCCGACTAAATTTCAAACAAATAGGTTAGTTTTTGAAATTCACAAATTTGCCCCCGGAAACCGTCAAATGTTTGCTACGTGGGTTGGTCAGGTTTTTTATGTTCCCCTTCAGCAGCTTAATTTTAATGCCTTAATGACCAAGATTCACCGAATACAACAAGAAGATAAATAGAAAAAAGGACAAGTTAAGGAAAAATATAGAGCTGAGCATTTCATTGTGCCAGTACAAACTCCTGAGAGAACGAGGTCAGATTATGACATTGCAAGGCCTTGGACTTGAAGTTAATAGCCTGAAGGATGAAGTAGGCAAGTTAAACCCACAAATGCAAAACAAGAAAGAAAAAATGACATCTCTAGAAAGGAAAAATTACAATTTAAATTTTTTTTAAAAAGAGCCACTGATGAATTTGCTGTAAAGAGACAGAAATTGGAAACCCTTAAGGCAAATATGAGAGGAAATATTTCAGCCTTAACAGGAGAGAAAAGAGTGCCCATACTCAAACTAAAACCAGCCTGGCCAAAAATGCTTCAAAAGTCAAGAAAATTGGGAAGGAATTTGAATACAACCAACAAGAGCTGAAATCTTCAAAGGAATATATCGAAATGTCAACTGAAGCTTTGGAAGATTCTATTTGTGCTTTGGAAGAGGCAGCACAAAAAGAGAAAAGCATGAAAAATGACTTGGGTACTGTGAAGAAAGTTTAATACAGACTCCTTATGTTTCTTTTCATATTTTGTTGTTGTAGGTAAGACATTTCAAGCCCATACTGACAGGCACAGTTGATGCTGTACTAGAAACGGTGCCTGGAAGCTCAGATGTGTCATAAGTTATTAACTTACCCCCAAAAATGGACATTTTCGCCACATTTCAAAGTCATTTTTCTATTCCCAAAATTCAGTTCAGATCAATATGCACCAAAATTGGCCCTGGATTACTGCTGTTATGCTACTAAAATATTATGGTTTAATTCAAATAAACATTTTCTTAAAATGTTACCTATTTTCATTTGTTGCCATTTTTTAGACCAAAATGAAATTGCTGGCTCTCCACGGTGGTGTCAAAAAGAGCTTTTCTGAAAGTTAATCAGACAAGTGGGAGAAATACCATCCTATGATATGTATTTCTGAAGCTAAATCAGTGATTTGTTAACACAATATGCAAAATTCTAAATTTGACTGAGCATTGCTAATAAATTGCCAAAAATGAAGGTTTGTGGCATGCGGGTCGTATTTGGAGGGCTGTGGGGAGGTTTTGTGAACATGACATGCACACATTTCCATTTAATTTAAACGATACAGCCGATTTCAACTTCGGCCAAGATGGCGAGTGACGTACCTTGTCTATTTATATATATGGGTCCACTGTTTCAGTTATCAGTTATATCACTATCCTGCTTCAGGGGCCTGTGGGTTTTCCCCTTCTATAAATATATCCTAGCAGGCAATAGGTATTTGAGGGGTGAGAAAGTCGTTACTTAATTTCCGTTCATACCTGTTGGAGCTGTCTTCAACAACAGAATTCCGAATTCAGCCAGATCTATATCCTGATTTGAAAAAACTTGATGAAACCTTTTTTTTGCTGTTCGAGAAGGGCCTCATGGAAAATTCGTGACCACTCGAGAAGACTCGTGCCGCCGGAATAACACAAGTTTGTCCATTCGTGACAAACTCGTGTTATTCCGGGACAAGCCGAATATTATAGTTTCATTGATAACATTTCACTGTAAATTGGGTATATTTTGAAATGCAAGACATATATATACAACAAGAATTCCATTCTGATTGTTTTGGCGCATTTTCGCACATAATATTCTTCTAGGGGCACGAGTCTTCTTGCAGTTTACGGAAAGGGGCGAGTTTTGACAAATGTCCGCAATCGTAGCGCTTATCGCTTAGTAGACAGGACCCAGTCACTGATCATGCCGATGATGCCTTGGGGTTTACAATGAAGAGCTCAGGCCAATGTCATGTGGACTACGTTTTGAGAAAGGTAATGAAAACCATAACCTTATGCATGCTAATGAACATATTTTTTTATTTACCGATAAATTCCTAAACTTTAACGCATTCTGACAGCAGGGATATAAATGTTGTTATAAAAACATTAAAAAAGGAAATAAACTTACGTTTTTAATTTTTGTATGTATTTTGGCCCTTTTGACCTTTCCATGGTACTTAACAAGTGAGATTGATAAACTACTACTGAAAGTACAAACACTTGCTATTGAAGCACTTTTAAATGATTTAAACTGATGCCAACTTTCTTGAAATAGTTGAAACAATAAAAAGGTGCCCAAACTTTCAAAATCTCTTACACAACCAGTCTCGGAAATGAGGGCTAAAAGGGCCAAAATCTAGCAAAGTGATTTTGCCCCTTTTGGAATTTGACTTTGGCCCTTTTACATAATTTAAAGTAGTTATATTAAAAAAAGAACTTATCCAAGAAAACATATAATAATTTTTCTGCAGGGAGACACGAACTCATAGATGTTATTTATGCAATAATATGCAAATAAGGGCCAAAGTGCATTTTGGTCTAGGCAAGGTGAAACGTATGGAATAGTCTTTTTTAATGGAGTTTGAATGGGAATACTGGAATAGAATTTGGAATGAGAAAAATGGAATGTACTCATCTCGCACTGAAAACAAACCCGGTGTTGTACAGACCATCACTGATACAAAAAACCGTGAATTAAATTCACAGTCATTGTCTTTTCATATTAGATTGGAGGCTTGTTTGTAAATAGGATATGTTCCATTTGTCTCATTCTAAATTCTTACCAAATCGAGTGACTCAGCACCATGTTGACCTCAGCTCAATGGAACAGCTGTTTTCTATCAATTTTTAATTTGTTTTAATTCTTTTACAATGTCAGATTGAAAAATTCGGCAAGATAAGTTCGACGATCGTAGTGGCAGTATCCCGAGGGGCATATGTGAGTTTGTAAAACCGATTTAGGTATAAAGTTATGAACCTACTGTAAACATCGAAATTTGAATGGAGTTCGCGATCTTGTTTTTCAAAACTGGGACCTGTTTTTGTTTTCTATCTGCAATCTTACTCAAAGGGGAGTATTGCACTTAAAAGGGCTGTGACAGCAAGTACCGTCTTTTAACATAGTTTGCAAGGACATGAACTGGGTCCGAAACACCGACCCTCAGCTCTCCGGGAAAACGTTCTATCCACTAGACCACGGAGGCGATCAGCTAGACTAACGCCCTGTCTCTGAATATATATCATTTTGAATTACAGCAAGGGCTGGGCGGAAGGAGATGTAATATTTTTCAGGAACTGTGAATTTGAATTTGATGAGCGATTTGTAACCATGGATGAGTCTTCCTTTAAAACAGTATTCAAAGCAGTAGAAATATCTGACGTCTCCTCTCAGATTCCAACATCTTCCCGAGGCAAGAGAGTTAACTGACTTTAAAAGTCCAGTTTCCACCCTTGCCGAACTAGGCTGGAATTCCTGGGCTCGATCGTAGCGCCACCAGTGGCTATTACGAGTTGTGTCCTTTCTATACCTCTCCTATTGACCAATCAGATTCCACCTCTCGTATCACTTGCATTTGCTTCAAACAAAACGGTGGCGCCCAGTCATGACGATCTAATCGATAATCAAGATATATATTGTGATAAAACGAGTCTTACATCGCGAAGTGCATCAAATCACGTGAGCACCTTGATTAAATACTTGAAAAGATTTAGAAAATATCTGCTGACAGCGAGTTAGCGGTGCACATGCTTTGCAAATCCTGCAGTCGATCGAAATCTGCATGACACTTCACGAACCGGATTTCGATTTCGGTGCGCGATTTTTATTGGACTATGCATAGACTCGTTAGTCCAGCCAAAATGTAACTCCATAATACCAGCCTAGTTCGGCAAGGGCGGAAACTGGACTTTTATAGTCAGTTAACTCACTTGCCTCGGGAAGATACGATTCCAAATGAATAATACTGGTGTACTAACCCCCAAAAGGTCAGCCCATAAATGGCTAATATTATACTTATCTTTGTTGACAACTGTGTGAGAATATCAAGACTACACGTGGTGGAAAATTCACAAAACTGTGTTGTTCAACCAGGACAATGAAATTGTGCACACATCTTTCGACATGGCTATAATGCATGACTGTGGCAGATTTTGCACCGTAAGACCTCCACCTATACCAAACTTTGAAGAAAGGGCTGCCTGGCAAGCCTTACGCAAAATGACGATGAAATAATTTCTGGCTCCTTTTACTCTAACCGGACGATGCCGTCCACACCAGTGGGATCCAGACACTCCAGCATCGTTGACATATGTTCCACGAAACATTACTGTGACTATGACAGGTTTAGTCATTTCGTGCACAAAAACGTGTACTGCAGAAAACAAAACAAGAATGAAAGACACGGAAATCACGGTACTCGAACTACAACAACTGTAATGTAACAGTAGTTATTGTTACGCTCACGATCAGCAAAAGGGCGGTTCATGTTATCCTGCATGGGGATGTCTTCTCGGTCGGGAGCCATCTTCTTGGTGAATGTCATCCTGGAAAGTTGGCGGTAAAGAATTGCTGCCACTGACACAAAGAAAAACACTTTACCGTGAGCATTTAAATGTGTAATAAAATTAATATCTATAAACGAATAGTCAGGCGAACACCGTCAGTTGCCACTGGAATATTCAATACCACCGGTAAATCTGAAGGAAAACAATGTTCTCTCCTTATTTAATAAATACATGTAATGATAGTCACTGTGTTTCAAACAATGAACTTGCGATACACGCTCCCGATGTCAAGAATATGACAGTTCCGATTCCCATTTGCTGGAGTGTGTTCACACTTTCGATTTTGATTTACATTTGTTGCAGTGCAGCTTTTCGGAGATGTAGATGAGGACAAGAAATGACAGGACAATTGGTGGCGGTGATACTATAGGTAAAGGAAAAAGGTTAATAACATGAAATATTATGCTGAAGGAAACTTTTATGCCAATCCTGATATTATTATATTAGATCTGCATGTTCAAAACAAGAGTTCTTACAGGAAGTTATTGCGACAGTTAGCAAAGCAATGTAATTCGACTACCTGCATTCGTCCGCTTACATCTAATGAGAATAATGACGGCTCATCTTACTTCACGGATAATAAGAAAGCAGAAAGGATAACGAATACTTTCAGTCTTGATCAACACTGAATTAGGAAAATGCACCTTCACTCAATTTTAATAAATTATGTCTTTAAAAACATGCGAGTATCCCTCGAAGTGGAAAGTTGCTGATGTCATGCCACTTTTTAAGGAAAAGTGATAATACATTGGTATCAAATTATATACCCATATCAGTTGTGTTGGTAAAGAATTTTAAAGAGTTGTTTACAAGCACTTGTTTCATTATTTTCATGCAAATGAACATTACTTTACCAGTCTGGTTTTCAAGTGGGATATTCGACTGCACACCAGTTACTTAAAATATGCCAGCAGAATTGATGTTTCAAAAGCTTTTGATCGTGTTCGGCATGAAGGTTTTTTGTTAAAACTTGAAAAGTATGGTATAGAGGGGCAATTGTTGTGATGGTTAGCCAGTTATATAAGCGATCGTAGTCAAGGCGTATTTGTCAGTGGAGCTGCTTCGAATTCCAAGACCAGAACACTCAACACTTGCGTACCCCCGAGGTCAGCGATTGGTCCTTTTTATGAATTATATACATTAATATCAAAGCTGATAAATTAGATTGTGTAACTAGATTCTTTGCTGATGACCCGTCACTGGGTAATTCACCAGCTGATAATTACATTGAAATGAAGTTAACTACACATTTTAATAAATTAAGTGTATGGATAACAGTGGTTGCTAAAGTATAATCCAGTTAAGGCCGAAGCAGTACTATTCTCGTTTAGAATTAATACAGAAACGTTTATATTTCGATGGTGCTAAAGTAAGGACAGTTGAATCCCATACACACCTTGGAATAACTTTATCAAGTAATGGAAAATGGGGTGATCATATTGAAACAATTGTGAAAAAATGCTTCAAGAAGGAAAAATTCATGCGATTGTTAAAGTATATATTGTGCAGTGACAAAATATGTCTCATGTTCATAGACCACATCCATTAAAGGGGCACTGATCCAACGCAATTCCCCGGGACTGGTTGTTGCCTTTGTTATTGTTTTTTCTCAGTGAGTACCCGGATGTATAGCAGAAATCTAGACTAGTTCGCGACCTCTGCTGCGCCATTCGTAAGCGCATTAGTCACTTTTATGGATACCGGTAGTAATAAGGGCGTATGGTCACATTGATCAACAAAATTAATACAGTTTTCGAGATAATAAGGAAATGTAGGTATCTTTGTGGGTAGCATCGGTAATGGTGACGAAGTTTTGATAAGTCACTTGCTTGGTAATTTTGCGATTTTCGTTTATACTATTTTGACTTGCAACACAAAGTAAATATTTCACCTGAGCATCGCTTTTTTATAGGGTGTATATTATTTTACTGTCAAAATGTGTAACATGTTTATAAAACGTCTTAATATTCAGTTATTTTACAAATTGACTGAAAAACATTTCCATCTGTATTATTATGATAACGAATAACATTTTGATGTTTAATGTCATCACCAAGAGACTGTAAATGTTACGTTGAAAAGTACATTTCTATGTTGTTTGGCTTCTAATCCTACATAATCTGTTGTGATGTTTGTAAGCCCTTTTGATATTCTTAATCAATCTGGACAGATTTTTTAGTCAAAATGACTGAAATATATACACATTTTATAAATTGCCTGAGAGAATCACATTTTACAAATTGACGGTAATATATACACCCTGACAAAGGAAAAGACCTGTGAAAACAACGTCTATCGCGCATTGAAGAATTTCCCAACCAAGACGTAGAGAAACAAGAAAGAATTATTGGTTCAAATGAAGGAAAACAAAATGCAAATACCATAATTACAACCTACCAAATTTATGTGTTTAAATTTTAGGCAGCTCCCTTGTTCGAGGAATGTATCCGTGAATATCCACTCAAAGGAACAATATCCCACTCGTCTGCAGCTGTACAAAGAAACTTATTCGATGCCACGTGTCTCTGTAACAATCAAATATTTTAAAAGATATATATCGTTTCGGGATATTATAACCCGTGTTCGTTTCTCAACTGATCACTTGGATTGTTTCAAGTGTTTCACATAGGTGTCAAGTCTCAAGGGTCGGCTGACAAAGCCCACGTGACAACTATTTTCATAACGTCCACGGTTCCTAAAAAATCCATTGAGTGATAGATAACAATGATCAATCAATCAACGTATTATCAGTTAACCCTTTGAACAAAGTATGTTGTTTTTACATCGGCACTTCACGCCATGATATGAGTGTATTTCCTTTGTTTTAGTAAACCTAGACATGTAAACACTCACTTTTGACATATCCACTGTGCAAGATAACAGTGATTAATCAATCAACGTATTTTCTGTTAATCCTTTGATGACTAGGAACGATCCGTTGATTTACAAAAAAAAGTAAATCAACTGATCATTCATCTCTTGCTTGGCTGCCACGTGCATATTACATAACACACATTTCACCTCACTTCAAACCTGGATTTAGATTGAATAATTACCCCACACACAATAAATGCCAAATGGGAACCTTTGTCAGGTAATCTAAGTGGTGCTACCACTAATTGTACCTGTAATAAATTCATTAACTGAGTATCAAGTGAATGACGAAAATTCACAAGTGTACGAGAAAACGTGGATGACAACAAGGGAGTAGTAATCGTATTATCGACGCAATCCAAAATCCGAAAATGCTTTCACTGCATGGATACTTTTTTTAGTATTAAACTATAACCATCTGGGGTATTCCCAAATGACGACATCCGATGAGCTACGCCGTTCTTTTTGTCTGTTTGTTTAGGCTGAAGAAATTAATTAACATGCGCCCTTTGTCAAAATCTTTATAGATCACAGTTAACCAATCAGTGTTTATGCAAAAATGCGGTGGCCCATAAGGGACACGGAGTCTGTTTTTCCATATTTTGATATTTCACTTACTGTTATCGTAACCTTTTGCAAATTAACACGATTTGTCTTACAAATATGTGATAAATCATGTGTAAAGAAGATATTGAATCGCTGAAAAACGAAACGAAAATGTCAAAAACTAAAATGAAAATGTCAAAAACACAAAACGAAAATGTCAAAAACTAAAATGAAAATACAGAAAACTATTTCCACCGCGGTGATAATATTTCCACCACGGTGATAATATTTACACCGAGGTGAACACTATTTCCACCGCGGTGGAAATAGTTGTCTGTATTTTCATTTTAGTTTTTGACATTTTCGTTTTGTGTTTTTGACATTTTCATTTTAGTTTTTGACATTTTCACTTCACATTTCAGCGACTCAAAAGCTACTTAAAAGTACATATTCTATGTTTTCGGATGTTTTTATACATGATTTATCACATATTTGTATGGCAGATTGTGTTAATTTGCAAAAGGTTAAGATAAAAGTAAGTTAAACATCAAAATATTGAAAAACAGACTCCATGTCCCTTATGGGCCACCGTATTAATACGCATGTGAAGTCTGGGATGGGCACACAAGAGAGCAGATAAATAAGCTTGAACAGAGTCATCATTTTTTTAAATTTCTATTCTCATCATTCCATATTGTACTATTGTTCCTAACCCTTTTCCATTTGTGAATAAAATATGTTTAAACTACCGATGACTTCACAATGCTCTCACCAAGTGTTATCTCCGATGGCCGCATGTTTGGGATGGTGAATTAAGTTGGGGCCCAAAACTTTAGCTAAAGCAAATGTATGATCTGCTACAGGCACAACATTTCTGAGATTATGATCTGAGCATATAATCATTCAATGTTCCACATTTTTAGGCGTCTCCAAAATACAGTGGCCACGTTTTAGAAGAGAGGCTACAGCTCACAGTGGCGAAGTCAGAGTCGCGTCAGAATGACCTCATCACAGCTTTTACCGCGAATTTTAGGACAGGATTTTACAGATTGTCTTGGTTTGTACATATACTTTTCCCCAAAAGTGCGTGATTTTCGAAAGGAACAGATGATTATAGAAATACAAAGAGGTACCGAGTGGAAGTTATGAATTGATAAAATCATGTCATTGAAGCAGACAGAAAGTAGTTCCGATAATAGTGTTATTCATACGAGTTTAACAACACTATATTTCATTCGAAAGAGATAAATGTGTTATTTTTGTAAGGTAAATACAGTGTTTCATCACAAAATAAATAATAAAAATGAAAATTGTATCAGTGAGACGACATGAATTATGTGAGGTTGATTGGTTGTAAAGGCTAAATGGACAGAATAGTTTATAATGTAGTAAAAACATTAAATACACCCTGACATGATTTTAGTAGAAAGCTATTTGTATTTTTATATATCAAGTTATATAGATTATGTCAAGCGTCATTGGTACATGACGACCGCCTCCGTGGTCTAATGGTAGAGCGTCCGCCCGGAGAGCGGAAGGTCCGGGGTTCGATCCCCGACCGCGTCATACCAAAAGACGTTTAAATATGGTACTTGTTGTTACCCTGTCTGGCGCTCGGCATTAAGGGGCTAAAACAAGGACTGGTCGGCTCGGAGTCAGTATACTGTGTCTGAGTGGGGTATTCATGTTAAACTGTGGCATGGTATCTCAGTGAGCTAGCACTATAAATCGGCATCAGTCCGGACTAGTACAAGCAGCCACACACACACGTGCATGCACGTCTCTAAATATATCTTGGACGCGACGTTAAACCCCATTTCACCTCACCTCACCTCACCTCATTGGTACATGACACACTTTTGACGAGGAAGTGACTGAATTTTAGCCGTTTACACGTGTCAATGAATCATGCTGTTTTAGGTGGCAATAGGTTATTGTACAGGGAACCGCAAGTATGGCTGATTAATAAACGCAAGATCACCCCAGAGATATTTACAAAGCATTATAATGTTTAGTTCTCTACCTACAGCAATTAAAAAATGTGTCTCTCCTCTCCTTGCTTTTCTCTACCCACGCTGCAAAACAGGAAGTTGAACCCGACAAAGCCCATCTGCCTTGTCATGCGCACGGGTTCACCTCGCCTACCCGGCCGTCAACACGGAATATAAAAGCGATTTTCTTTGCCATGGCAAACGCTTCAAGTAACACGGAGCCTAAACCTAACTGTCGAGATGTTAAGTACCAGCAAAATGACAGCAAGGAAAAAGTAGCTTTGACAACTGGAACATGCTCTTGAAATGTTTCCAAGTCGCTACTAGAGTACCCGGACAATGTGTCTCATTTAACCGGTTATTGAACACGTCAATTTATAATTTTATAGCCAAATACAGTTAATAAATGTCAAAATAAATCATGAAATATGTCAATCTAAATGTTAAATATATGAAAAAATGTTGTAATGTTCATTGTTTCGGGTATATCTAATGTGGAATGGGCTTTAAATTTATTTTATGAAGCGATGCAAGTTGCATATGCATGTACGTTATGTGGAATGGTCTTTACCCAGCATGCCCATTGTTTAGGGATTACCCTAGCTTCCTGGTTTCTTAACTAGAAAACAATAGGTGCCGGGCAAGTGAGGGGTCCCCGGACACACAGTACAGGTGAGCAATGTGTACCTACCACCCAGACCCTATCGATGTTAGGACTATGATTGTCTGTGGACAATATGGACGGGGTGTTACCTTCCAAAGTGGATGATGGTTGACTACCCCCACGCGTGGGACGGTTTGCACTGGTTTGTCTGATCAAAAGCTAAGGCAATGAAGCTGGAATATTGCTCACTGTGGCGTTAAATAACAAACAATTAATCCCGTATTTGTAACACTTTATCAGTAACTACATAAACATACAAAATAAAAAATATAATAAATACGTACAATGTAAAGACAAACTATATAATAAGAATACAGTAACACGATTATCTATTCCACACATCTGTGTTATTGGTGATTTTTTTTACATCTGTATTCATCACAAAGTGACACTTTTACCAGATCTAGTTTGCTTTCTCATTAATACTGATTCTAGGAACTGGTGAAATATATAAACACTTGATCGAGTTCTACATATTTCCCTTTGCGGTTTACATAATTATGTTGTATTTAGGCCAAGTTAATATTTCCTATGATCAAATCATGGAAAACAAATTTTCATGACTGAACAGCACAACAATATTTCACATTTCAAATATCTGGTGTGCGTTGTACGCAGTTCTGACTTCTTACATTACATATTCGAACAAGGATGACAAACATACATTTCAATATACTCAGGGTGATAAAATGCCTCTTGAAAACAGATTCCATGAATATACTATCTACACGTATTACAACATAATAGACTTTCTGCTGCACCTTTGAATGAAGAAGGCCAACCCCACAATGGTAGCAATGAACTTGATTATGAAGAAAACATACGTATATCTCAGCAGTTCGTGAATATATTAGACAATATAAGATATCTATTACTCAAATAAACGACCGCCAAACCACTGTATTTATCCATTGATGCAGCACAGTATATGTATACTCCACAACAAAAGAAACGCAAAACGGATAAAATCATTAATACATGTCACGCGTTTATGGAAAGCGATACAGGAATCATTAATATAATGTAATTTTCTGGTCCATACATATCGCCATTATCATATTCGGCCAAGCGCATCTGAGGCAATTTGTAGAAAACAAACGTGCATTTAGCCAAAACAGGACCACAAGGACTGCAGGGTTTTCGTTTATCTGTCATCTGTATCTGGGCGATTGCATAGCAGTGAACACATGCTGCGACTCAGTGGAGCAGAAAGAAACAAGGTCATCGATCGCTCGGGAACGGGTACGTCCATGTCGGTTGCATGTATCACCATGCACGTTTACAAGACTGGAATCGTCACCAACACCAAGGAACAACAAATGATATATGATCGACCACGTATGACCACGCCCAGGACCCCTCTTTCGGGTTCGTCACCCAAGGCAACCAATACATCATCCGTTTGGTCTAGAAGGTGAAGAACGGTCTTTGTGAGGTAAGTCTTCGAGGCAGATGGTCTGGTCGAGGTGTCATATTCACGGACCAATTGTTAGCGACAAGCGCTTACGGTCAGAGGGAGATAACTCTAGATTCCGTACGTGATAACGAAGGTAAACACTGTCAGAGAGTTGGAGAAATTCCAATGTTGCCAGGCAACTGGTAGGTAATGGAAAATGATCGAATGTTTAATATATGTAGCTGTGACTGCTGGTTAGGTTGGGACGGTGTGTCGGGGATTGTAGAGACGGCAGTTTGAGTCTGGATCTTTAATAAACAAGTCGTGTTGTTTGAACTGTGTTTCTAGCTTTCAACAACATGGTCGACTATGACGTCTGTGGTGTCATGCCCACTACTCACCAAGGGGTGTGAACACAAAAACAACAGGTCCTGCCCTGGCCCCATAGAACGTCAATGGGATAAGTTGGATAGACGGGTGTGAAAGCAGGCACAGACTCTGCCACAGCTGCCACTGACACAACGGACCAGGTTGTCCACCAGTGTCAGAGTCTCGTACCATGGTGACATGCCATGTCCTAATCAGCGTCGAATGTTCACTTTGGAAGCGTGTGTCATACATAGGTGAGCATTCACCTGCTTTTTCATGTGTACATCACCATAGATGTATTTGCGTTTCTGTTTTGGGAGCGTATATAATCGCACCACAATTGTAGTGAGTTAGTATGGTTTTACGCCGCTGTTAGCAATATTCCAGCAATATCACGGCGGGGGACACCAGAAATGGGCTTCACACATTGTACCCATGTCGGGAATCGAGCCCGGGTCTTCGGCGTGATGAGCCAACGCTTTAACCACAAGGCTACCCGACCGCTCCACCACAATTGTAATTATGTTAGTATGCAAATCTTATATCCTTATGCATGTAGCCATGTATGTATATTAAATGTCGTACATATTCAGTATACAAAATACATTTAGATAATGTGTAAAATAGCAAACAGGGTGAGGGCCACGTGCTATTTTGTTCAAACGTTCGACAAGTCGTGAATAATCATGATAAGGTGATGTCTTAACAGTTTATCTGTTGACTCCCTGTTGATTGTCTTGTATTTGACATAGACCATCCGGGTTTCGAAATCCATATGAACTCTCATCACAAAATGTTCTCATTGTTACGTTATCACAGTATGAAGATTGCCCAATGATCTTACGCTTCATTTGCCTGTTCATCCTCGTTGAATTACACTTGGAGCTGTGGATCCGATGAGTGCCTTTTTGACATCCATCTTTTTTCTTTTGAAGTGTTTCCCGGAAACGCAATCTGTGCCGTCGCTCTGCACAGCTTCACTTTGGTGCACAGTGCCTCTTAACTCTGAAATAACGAAAAAACACTGTGTAATGTATATGTGATCAGAATGTATATATATATATATATATATATATATATATATATATATATATATATATATATATATATATATCTTTTCTCTTTTTCGTGTACCCTTAAAGCAGAGTAAAGAAGAGTATAGTAGCAGAGATAACGTTAAAACCTGGCTTCTATTACTGTATATTAATTCAAACACATATTCATCTTCTTTATCGTCATTGATATGAGTATACGGTGTACATTAATATTACATTCTGATAAGGGTTGCAGTCACTTTGCAACGTTAACATGTTGCCACCAATGGAGTGTGATAGGCTCAGCCTTTCGCTATCACCTGGTATCGTCACTATTATATTGTTATTCATACACGCATGCTTCTGGTTTGCCAGAATCCTAGAATAGAAATTTCTTATGATTATGGAAAGACGTATATTGACATATACTTGACACGTTAAACTCTCTTTTGATCATATTGATAACAATGTAACAGAAACAGACATCAGTGCATCTCTAATATTACCCATATCCCACGTGCAAATACAGACAAATCAGCTTTACAATTCATGAATGAGTGAGTTGGGTTTAACGCCGCTTTTAACAGTATTCCAGTTATATCACGGCGTGTCAGCTTAATGTGGGAGGAAAGCCCGAAGTGATGCAGGTCTAAGACGTTTACCACTTAGGTGAAACCCACGAGCACGGGTATGGTGCTGACAAACCTAGAAACATAATCGGGGCGAACCGGGATTCGAACCCACAATCATAGGTTTCTGGCGTGCCCAAGGGACGCAACTCTGTACAGCGAATCGCGGCGCCTTAGACGACTTGGCCACCCGTGCCCCCTTACAATTCATGAAGTTAATTCACACATACATGTTTGAAGTACACCACATAGTTATATGGCATCTTATATTTTATTCTGATCGTGACAAAACAAAACATTTGCCGATGTGAGGAGTGTTAAAGCAGGTGGTGGAAAATATTAATTATAAGTTATGCATTCATTGGCGTGCCCGAGCTTTTCTCTTGACGTATTTCCAACATACAATACAAACAAAAATCATCTTATCACCTCTTGACAAACATCTAATATAAACAACAAAAACAATTATAGACAGGTTA